ATCAAAATAGCTTAAATTAAGCTGAAAGCTGAAATAAGCTAAAAAAAGCTGTACCAAACAGGTTGGTACTCAAATGTGAAGATATTTGGTGGGAAAATTTAGGAGAAATTGAGGTATAATAAATACAACAATGGTTTATTTTGGAAAGATAGTAAAAAGTGATTTTTTAGCTTTTTATTAAGTTTTTGACTTTTTTAGACAAATGATTTAAAAAGTTGGTAAAAAGTTACTTTTAGTTTTTTTGATTAATATTTAAAATGTCAAATCACAATAAAATGACCAAACTGTCCATATTCAATTTAAAATATTTACAAGTTCATCTATGTAGTATATTTTGACACATGAGGAGTAGAATTGTAATTTCACCAATGGTTAAAAACCAACTTTCCAAATAAAAAAAAAAAAATACAAAAAAAAATTAACTTTTAACTTTTACTAACAAAAAAAGTGGCTAACAAATATCATGTTTATGACTGTCTTTTTCACAAAGCGATGACCCTATAATAGAACAGTGAAAAATATAATAAAAAAGTAGTTTCGATTTTTTTTTTCAATAAATAATTCATAAGGTACCAACTCTAATGTCACATTTTTAGAAGTATTTTCCGTACTTTTCCATTCTCTCCGACCATTGTTTTCCAACCAAACGAGAGTAAAGAATCAAATTTTTTTCTCTCCTCACTTGTTTTTTCTTCTTCCATTGTGCCTTGGTTTATTTTCCCACTTTCTCTCCTACCAAACAAAGCATCGACAGATGCATGTGAGAAACATGGTTATAAATATTGTCATACAAATTAACTTAATAATTTCTTAATTTGAATCTAACAACAAATTTATAAGACGATAATTATGCATTAAATTTTTTTGATTTTTGGTTTCTATAGAATTTATTATATTTTGTGAGTTAGTAGGTTTTTATTATTTTTTGGTAGAAGGAACTTATATTAAATTAAATTGAATTTTTTATTTTTTGGTAATAAATTAAATTGAATTAGACAGTACAATATCTAGTATGGGGCATCCAACCCGCGGAGCCAAGTACCTGCTACGGGTTAATTTTGATATTATTTTCATAATTTAAACTGTTTATTTTATAAGATTTGCTGAGAGGATCATTCATATAAAAAATCAAATTGATTAGAAATCAATAATCATATATTAGAAAAAAATTGTCTTTAAAAATAGACAGCAAATGTGATTTTGAAAATAGGATATTTATTTTTTCTAGATAAATGTAATTTGATCATGTGACTTCAATACCTAATTAATCTAATTTTTTATGTACATGATTTAATCAACAAATCTAATAAGATGAATGGTTCAAATAATAAAAATAAAACTTTGAGTAAGCCCCAAAGGGCATAGCAAGCAGTCTCTTGTTGTGAACAAAGCAAGTATCCCTCATCCACTCCACACTAGTTTCTAGTTGATTGGTAATCTTTCTTTCTTTCTTTCTTTCTTTCTTTCTTTCTTTCTTTCTTTCTTTCTTTCTTTCTTTCTTTCTTTCTTTCTTTCTTTCTTTCTTTCTTTCTTTCTTTCTTTCTTTCTTTCTTTCTTTCTTTCTTTCTTTCTTTCTTTCTTTCTTTCTTTCTTTCTTTCTTTCTTTCTTTCTTTCTTTCTTTCTTTCTTTCTTTCTTTTTTTTGTTAAGCTCTTATACATTATTTATAAATATACGTGCCATAAAAATGTATAATTTATTTTAAATTTTATTAATTAATTTTGTTAAAATATTCATTAACAAAACCCTTTAAAAAAAAAGAAAAAAGAAGATCTTTAAGTATTAAAAAAAAAAAAAAAAAACATTTTAAAATTTTAGATATTCTTAATGAAACAAAAAAATAAAAATAAAAAGAGCTAAAAGGGGGCAATTATACCACTGCACATAATACAGGTAAATAGACAATAGTCAGAGCATCAATGAACATTGCTCCATATAATGCAAGTTAGTTTACAAAATGATAAATAAGCGTAGACTTCCTAAAACATGGTTAAGTGTTGTAGCATAAATATTCGCTATAGATACAATAATACTAACCAACAGTGAGCAATATCCATAACAGAGCGAGTCAACGCGAGAACCCATCAAATTACACATAGTAGCTAAATTCCACTTGGAAAGATACTGAAACAACCTCAACAAAACAACTTAGCTGCCACTGTCAGGTTTTGATATGTCCTCTATGATGCCTTTCCCGTCCATAGCATCGAAAAAGAAGAAATTCTTTAGGGGATCGCCTTTGCCTGATATTGCTTTAATAACTTCCTACAAATCAAAATTGTTAAACATTTTAATGAACTATAAGCACGTTTTAGGAATGAGGATGTAACTGAGAAAATGCAATGACTTGATTTTTCTCACCTGACCAAGAATTCCCCCAATGACAGCACAAACTGGAGGGAATTCTGTTGTACACGACACCAATCTCTCAAGGAGAGAATCAGGAATGAGAGACTCATTTAGTGACTGCAAGGGCGGAAATTTAGCAATTATAAGAAGATGCTCAGCACTTTACTATAATTGGGATCAACAAAATCTCGAGTAACATATTACTTGTGCCTCGAAGAGTTCCTTCCTCAACTTCAAAACCTTAGGAAGGTCGTCCTTTGAAGTTTGTCCAGGATCACGACCCTCAGCCTCTTCAAACTGTTCTATTACTGCAAAAACAATCACCAAGTTCAAACAGTTCATAAAACTAAAAAGTTAAAAATAAAAAAAATAAAAAAATCGACAATAAAGAATGCAAAGCACCAAACAGAGGTGGGGAGAGGGAAGACTTGAGATAAACATTACAATTTCTCCAATGTACGATCCAACAAACAATTAGTCAGGGAAAACAAATTGGGAAATTAGCAGTGACGAATATCGTGAGGGAGGGGGATAGACTACCCTTCTTTCCAGGTTGCAAGAAAATGTCAAGAGGAGTACTGCGATTTGGTTATCTCAACTCAATAGAAAGGGGATTGGGGGAAAGAAGAAGAAAAAGACTTCCTAAGCAGAGTTAGATACTGTACAATTGAAGTTTTCTGATCTCATAATCCTAACTTTCATGTAATTTATCACATTTCCGTTTGTTGAATTTCACTGTTACAAACAACTCACACTCCTCCCCAAAATTATTTTTGTGAAAAATATTTTTTTTTACAAGAAAAAAACAGAAAAGATAAGTAAAGAAAACCAGTATTTAAATGTCATACCTCGCATAGCAAAGTATAGCTTTGACATTCTCCTTGGAAGGGATTTCCAAGGTACTGCAATTGCATCCTGCCATAAAATTATCTCATGTAAAATATCATATACTAACAAACTGAATTCAAATTGAAAAATTCTTCAGAATTTTTTTTTTTTTATTGGCACTAGAGTATCTGGATCAAAGCCCGACTACTCCCCAGGGGTGCACAGGCCCTCGGCAAGGAGTTTTTCGCAAGTGCACCATGCTTAATTCAAGAATTTTCTCCCAAACAGATGGCCCCAAGAAATTGTTAGCACCTAAGAAGTTTCGATCCCTACACCTTGGAGGGAGCACATCCTCAAGACCCAAGGTCTTGCCACCAAGCCAACCCGTTGGAGTTAAAAATTCATCAGAATTTGATAATCATTGACCTGCAAATGTGTGATAAGACAACATCCAAAATATAAGTCATACCTCAAAACTGGGATACTGAAGTTGGCATTCAATAGTTTCGTCAAGCTTTTTCTGCAAATAGAAAAAAAGAATTAAAAAAGACAATATTAACTATCTACAGAAGGTATTTAAAGGATAAAAATCTATACCAGCTATAACTTCATAGAATATAAGTATGTGAGTAAAAATTTTGGTAGAACCATCAAATGAGCTTTTCCAGACAAGCAAAACAGAAGATTCAAGCATTTAGCATATAACACTTTTGAAGGGGGGAAATATTTTCTGATCAGGCCCCCAAACTCTGGTCCCAGTTACTGAAGAGGTAAAGGGTATAGAACATGCAGGACTCCTAGAGCTAGAGGTGTGAAAGTTAGTTCACAACAAAGCCAGTTAATAGTAGTACAACATATTGTCAGTTAAAAAGATTGGTTACTGTATAACCTTCAACAGCAATTAAATATCTCAAAATGTTATAATGAATGCCTTCAATGAGCAAGACAAAAGGCCCAAGGAGTACGGCTGTACAAAAAATCGGGTAGAACTGGTAATCTGGATCACACCAGATTAAACCACACGGTTTGGTTCGGTTCTGTCCAGGACTGGTTCGGTCCCGGTTTAAAAAATTTTAGGAACCGTATAAATGGTTCAGTTAATGGATTTACTGTAAAAACCCGCAGTTCAAACCGAACCAAAACCCGGCTAACCCCCAAGGGTGCACAAGCCCTCGGCCTTTCTTGCAAGCTATGTTACACGGACTCTCTGTTTTTTGAGAGGTACACGACACAAGCATGGGTGCGGAATACGGCTAGGATACAGCTAGATACAAACGAATACAGTTGAAACTCAGAGATGGAGAGAGAGAGGGGGGGGCTGAAAATCACCTTCACGAAGCAAGTCGAGTCGCGAAGCAAGATCGAAGCGCAAACCTTAGTTGTAAACTCAACCAAATCAAAGGAGATCTAAAAACCAATATCGCGAAGTCGATTCCACCTAAAAAATGACACTAGGGCTTCGATTCTCCTTTGGTCTCTCTCTCTCTCTCTCTCTCTCTCTCTCTCTCTCCTATCTTCGTGTTTTCTTCTGTTGACTCGTCTTCTCTTCTCTCTGTTCGTTTTCTCTACTTTTTAATTAGATTTATATTATATAATATAAATGATATTAATATAATAATATATAATATTATTCACCCAAAACAAATATTGTATAATATAATATATCAAAAGTAATATAACTTTTATGCCTAAAATAAAAACAAATTATTTTATCACATGTAATATAATTTATTTTATGCCTAAAATAATTTTTATAATTTTTATTTGTTTTTTTTTTTTGACAAAATCTATTATTCCTTAACTTTTTTTAACTTATCTTCATATAATAAATATATTTAAAAAATAACTATTTAAAGTATCTCCGTACCCGTATCCAAATTTAGATCTATATCCACGTATCTTCAATTTTTAATTTTGAAGTGTCCGACGCCTAAATACGCACCCGTGTCCGCACCTGCGCCCGCACCCGCACCCGAGTTCGTATAACATAGCTCACAGGTGCATCATCGTTAATTCAAGAATTTTCTCCCAATCCGATGGCCACAAGAAATTGGTAGCACCTAAGAGTTTACAATCCCTAAACCTTGGAGGGGCACCCCTAATACTCAAGGCCTTGCCACCAGGTGCCTCTTTGTCTTGTTGACTATTCGTCTTCTTGCTATTTTGACGTTGGTAAGAACAATTTTGAACTTGTTTATAATTGTCATGCTTGGATTGGTTATTGGAATCAACTTTTAACAAGTTGATCTTTTCTTTTTTCTTGTTTTGGTGTTGATTAATTATTTAATGTTTATTAATAATACAGTTTGGTCGGCAAGGGATGTGTCGGACTGATCCAAGCGCTTCGCAAATCGGTTGACCTTCGTCCTCCAAGCTGAACCTGTAACAAGCCATTGGAAAGGTTCCGAAATGGGGGGTTTCCTTTCCTGTAGACCCTTCGATGATCAAGTTAGATAGGAACGTAATCTGAATAGTAACTTAGAGAGGAAAAGATAGAGAATTAGAGAATTAGTTGTTACCAAAAATACTTCAGAAGCTTCCTTATATCCCTCATCGTTTCCTAGTCTATTCGAGCTGTCTGGATGGTCGAAAGTCTATAGTCTAGTTGCCATCGGTCATGGTGGTTTTGCGTGCTCCGATGTGAGAGGCCTTGTTGCATTTAATGTCATCACAGCCTTATTTAATGCCTAATGTATAGGTTCAATAACTCTGCATGATCTTTGTCTGCTACGTGACTAACTCCTTATCTGACAGATATCTAAATCTTACTAGTCCTAGGCCAACACCGGCTTCTTATTGTTGCTGGGCTTTTACCATGTAACTGTCAAGGGAGCTTAGGACAAAGGTGGGTTGGGTCTTCCTGGGCCATGGGTTGGGCCTTCCTAGGCTATGCCCATCAATAGTCACCCACTTCTGAGTGCAGCTTTAGTCCAACAAAGGGAATAAGAAAGGTGAAGGTAGTCCCCCAAGTCGCAACAGAGGGGACCAATCAAGTAATTCGGCGGGCGGGTGAGGATGGTTGAGGGTGGAAGATCGTCTGGGTAGCCGACTGTGAAGATGGCCGATCTACAAGGCGACCAACCAGCAAGCTGACCGACCGTAAAGGTGGCCGTCCAACAAGGTGATCAACCGTCGAGGTGGCCGACTGGCGAGGTGACAAATCGACAAAGTGACCGATCGTAACGAATCAGACAAAAATCAATCTTTAATTAAACTGCCCAAATGGTTCTAAAAATTCCCATTAACATATTCATATACTCAATTTTGATTTTTGAACTCATTAAACCCGTTAATTTCAGTTTCAAGTGTTAACTCCAAGAGTTTAGGCCAAATAAAACTAATTAATTTATTACGAATCAAATTTTTACAATACTTCATATAATGTCCTAAAAATCATGTCAATCATGACTGTGAAGTCAATTTCAGTTTATTGCGCCTCTAAGGCATTCAATGTTCAGAATGTTCAGTCCAAAGGTCGCAATTTCAACAGATTTGCTCATAATCAACAGATACAAATTATAAACATGTAATTCATACATTCAAACATGGAATTTCACATCACAGATAATGAGGAAATTAGAGCATAGACAGTATATGAGGGAGTCGGGTTATTACACTTCTGCCTCCACTCTGTTCGCTGGCCACTTCGTGGTTTGACAGAACAATATTTTTTTGGGTTGCACATCGTCTATTTAATGATGCCTCCTGCATTAATGACACTGCAGCTTTTACGATGCACCCACGATCGCCGAAATGCACACCTCGCCGCTACTTCGACATTACATGCGTCATCAACGGCAGTGGCAATCCATGTTCAACTGGGATATGGGTAGATTTGTGAATCTATTTAGCATCTTCCTTCATTCGCCGAATTTCCCCTCTCCCCCACTTGAACGCTGATTTTCTTTATTCGGCACTTAATACGTTATCAATGGCAGTGGCAACCCATGTTCAACTGAAGCAGGGACAGATATGTTAATCTATTCAGCCTCTTCTCTCATTCACCAAATTTTCCTACTCATCCACTTGAACACTGATCTTCTTTATTCGGCACTAAATGCGTCATCAACGGCGGTGGCAACCCATACAGATATGTGAATCGATTCGGCCTCTTCCTTCATTCGCCAAATTTCCCCACTTCCTTATATGAACACTTATCTTCTTTATTCGGCACTAGATGCGTCATCAACAGCGGTAGCAACCCATGTTCAACTGGGGTAGGGGCAGATATGTGAATTTAGTCGGCCACTTCGTTCATTCACCGAATTTCTCCACTGCCCCAACTATTAAAGCTGCTAGTCTTGCGATTATTCGGCACTAAGTGCATCAGGCACTCCCTACATTATTTGAACTTGGTCGAATTAACCAACAAGGTTAAAACATTAAAAACATTCAACATTTTAACTAACAAGATTAAAACATCAAAACAGGCATTTTCATTCATAAACTGTACTTTAAACATATGCCACTTTATCAATGAAAATGACTAACTTCTACAATAAACAAAACAAAAGTATAGGTATAAAAAAAGCTTCAAAAATGACATCCAAACAGCATCCTTACAAAAGTACAAAACAAAACAAAAATACAAACAAAGCTAAATTAATTATCTTCAAACTCCTCTAGATCGAACTCCAAGGGCTCCACCTCCAACTACTCATAAGGAATTGGTTGCTCAAGCATTACATTGACAGCCGCTAGAGCCTTCAGCCAGTCGTGCTTGAAGCCACGGTTCTCAAACATCAACACCTCGTCGGTCATAGCAGTTTCGACCTTGCATTTTTCCTCTGCAAGTTCGCCTTCCAAAACGTTGAGTCTTTCCACGGCGTCATAGTGTCAACGGCTGATTTCTATGATTCTCTTTGCCGCCTACAAAACATGATATAACAAAGTTAGTAGTCGGCACAAGAACGATATACAATCCAAAACTGACTTACCAATATTGCCGATTGTGCCGCCAAAGCAATGGAAACGACATCTGACTCGGCATGAAACATGGACCTGTCAGATGGAAGTGAAAGCGCCGACGTAACACTCAATGCAACGACATGATCTTTGATGGCCGATCTACTAGCTAGAACTGGCAAACTCTTCATCCTAGGCTGGATGATGAATGGTTCATCCGAGTTCGGAGAAAATGCCTCCATCCTTTGCCGTTTGTCAATTGGTTCTTCTGATGACTCATTGTAGACACCCCATTTTTGACCGTCCTCAAGACTTGGACGTCACCGTTTGAACACTCGGTGATCATCCTTGTTTGCGTTCGTCTTGAGTTCCCGGAGGTCTCGGCTACGCGCCTTGCCTCAGGATCTCTCGACTCGACTGTTTTATGTTTGGTTTTGCACCAAACACTTATGTTTTTGCTTTGGAGGGCAGGGAATGGCTTGTTGGCCATCCCCACACTCCACCGGCCATGGTTTGAGGCCACCGGCTGTGTTTTGTTGCCATCGACCAAATGTTTGGCCGACCGGCACTCTAGATGGTCGACCGGCCATCTATTTTGGTCAAATTGCATTTTCGCTTGGGACCGACCACTATTTATTTGCTTTTGCAGATATTTTTATGCCAGCTGTGCTAGCTGGCATACACTTGCTCCCCTCCATACACGTGTATGGGAGGATCTCCCTCTTGACTAGCTTGTTTTGAAAGCTTTACAAGAGGGATTGTTTTAAGAGGAAGCCTCTTCTCCCTCCATTAGGGTTACAAAAATTTTCAGAGCTTTGAGTTTTTAGGTTAGGTTTGTTCATACTCTATCTCTATATCTCTCCCTTCTTCTTGAGTGTTTTGTGTGTGTTTAGTCTTAGTTTTGCCACACAAACACCTACCATTACACCATACCTTAGGTGCTGAGGCCTAAGGGCTTGTTCTTGGAGGTTTTGGACTGGTTTGAAACTAAGGAAGTGCTGGTCTTCCATTTTTGAAGAGGGTCTACACAAGGTAACAACCTTACCCCTTTCTTTCCCTATTTTTGCATAGCTTTTTCACCTATCTTGCAACTATTTTTAGACTTTGTGTATAAACATATAGAAGTCTTGTTTTTGCCTTCTCTAAATAGTTGTTTAAGAGTGTTTTGAGCTTTGGGGTTGTTTGACCCCTCTTAGGGCTTGTTTGGCCTCATTTTGTGCCATTTTGGGTTGAGCTCCGAGACCACCTCGTTTGGTGCCTCCTCACCACTGAAATCTTGGAGGATTTCAGTGGTGAGGATTGGTGCCTTGAGGTCCTGTAAAGGAGAGGGCCACCCCCTCTCCTTGTTGTCCTTGAAAAGAGGCCATTTTAGCCTCTTGAGTGAGCATCTTATTTAGGTTCATGTTGGCCAATCTTAGCTGGTATTTTAGTGTTATTTTGCCATGCTATAGCACGTGTTTATGTTGTTTTAGGCACACCATGCTTGCTTAGCATACATGTCTTGTAATGCCATCATTTGCCTTAACATGTACTTAGCATGTAGATTACCATGCTTGCTTGTTTTGGTCAAGCTTTGTGAAGCTTTTAGGCTTGTTTTGCCATACTTAAGGTCTGATGTAGGTTTGTCTTAGCCATGCTTACCATGCTTTGTTAGCCTCTTTGCATTCTTGGCTTGTAAGCCTCAAGTGTATGAACCATGATGTAGACACCCCATATTTTGACCGTCCTCAAGACTTGGACGTCACCATTGAGAACACTTGGTGATTACCCTTGTTTGTGTTTCCTTTGGAGTTCCCGGAGGTCTCGGCTATGCGCCTTGCCTCAGGATCTCCGAACTCGATCGTTTAGTGTCTGGTTTTGCACCAAACACTTGTGTTTTGCCTTGGAGGGGCAGGGAATGTCTTGTGAGGCATCCCCACACACCACCGGCCATAGCCACAGGCCACCGGCTGTGTTTTGTTTCCGTCGGCAATCTATTTTGCCGGTCGGCATATTTGTTGCCGGTCGCCACTTTTTTTGTCAAAAATGCATTTTTGAGTAGCCGACCACTATTCACTCTACTTTATGTAGATATTTTGTGCCAGCTGTGATAACTGGCACCAACTCTGCTTCCCTCCATAACACGGTGTATGAAGGATTTTCCTCTTAAGCAAGCTGTTGTGTAAGCTTTTGCAAGAGGGACTTCTATAAGAGGAGAGGTCTTCTCCTTGCTCTAAGGTTAGAAACTTGGAAGGCAAAACCAGAGCTTATACATATAGATACACCCTCTCTCTATATTTCCTCTCTCTCCTCCCTTGTGTGTTTTCTTGGCCTAAAAGTGTGATTTTACCTTACTTTTGCACTAATACACACACTATTAAACCTTGCCTCGAGATTGAGGACTTGGAGGGTTGATTCTTGAGTTTTGGCTGTTTTTGATCAAAAGAAGGAGGGCTGCCTTGCTGTTTCTTGAGGTGTGCTTCAAGGGTGAGCACTTTGCTTTAGTTTTCCCAAACTTGCACTAGTCTTTTACCTACCGTGCTGCTGATTTAGTTCTTGTGTATAACATAAAAAAGCTTATATTTTCATGCTTAAGAAACTTTCATTAAGGTCTTTTGTGGTTTGAGTTCAAACTCACCCTTGTAGGCCTTATTTGGCCTTTTTGTTGCCCCCTTGGTAAGGCCTTGTTTGCTTAAGGTTTTGGTCTTTTCACCACTGAAACCAGTGGATTTTCAGTGGTAAGGAAGGTGGTTTGAAGCCTGCATAGGGGAGGGACACCCCTCTCCTTTTTCAAAGGTTTTGGGTGTTTTAGGTCATATGTAATCTCTGTTTTTGGTCAGATTTGTGCCCCTTTGCATGCTTAACATACTTGCTTACATCCCCTATTTGGCCTAGAAAATGCATCTTGTTTTAGGCCATGATTATTGCATGTGTTGGCTTAGTTCCATGAAGGTGTTGGCATTATTTTTACCATGTTAAGGGTATGTTCGCCATCTATTCAGTCAATGCTTGCCTTGTTTGGTGTCATCTTTTGTGTTTTGGCTTGTAAGCCTTGAGTATATTGGCCTCTAGCATGCATAGCTTAGACCTTTCCCATGATTTGGCATCATTTAGGATCATATTTCAGTCCATAAATCATGTTTGTATGCGCTGCATGTGTGACCTCTTTCATGCTTTGAAGGTGCTGCCTCTTTATGCCTAGAAATGAGTTTTGGTGTGCAATGCATCTCATTGGAGCCACTTGAGCTGCCATATTAGTGGTTTGGAGTCCATTTTTGCATGCTAAAGTCTGTTTTACTTCTCTAATTCATGCCATGATTGGTCATATTGGTAGAAGTAAAAATGCCTTTTTTTGTGGCCTTAGCCCAGGTCCATTGGCTTGCATGTTGGCATGAGAGTTTGTCCATCATTTTGGGCACTTTTAGGTACTGTTTTAGGTGAATTAAGGTCTGCCCCTTTACCATTTAAGCCACCATTGCATGCTTGTTCATGTTTGTTGCATGATTGCTTCATTAGGTGTTTGTAACATGATGATTTTATTGCTTTAAATTGTCCATGTTTGCATTGTATTTGGCATCTTGCATGCCTAGCATTCCATAGTTTGCCATAGTAGTTGTATGGCATTTGGCATTGCCTTGCATAATTAGTATCATGTTTGCATTTTTGAGCCATATGAGCATTAACATGCATTGCATTACTTGGTTTGGGGTGTCAAACCAAGGGTGAGGGTCAAGAAGCGTTCATACTGTAAGTGAATGCAACGTGCCTTAAACTCTCGGTCACTGGGGCTTTGACTTTCGACATGATAAGGGCCTTGGTCCTCATTTTGTGTGTTGCATGCCATTCTTACATCAAATGGCAAGCTTTGATCTCTTGGGCTATCATGCACAATTGATGGCTCGAGGATCGAGGGCCATGCTTCCTGAGTTCAACACATGATGGGGGACATGACCATGCTTACATGTACCTGAAATCCCATGCCATATGCTGTCTGTCCTCTGTTGCTGTCAAAACTGTCTCCTGCAGGAAGTTTATGCGACCGGCATAATTCTAGTTCGACACCGGCCATGTGTGAATGGCCAATGATTCAATCAGCAGCCGATGGAAGTTATACACTGCCGGGTGGTACTTCCTCCAGCCGGTGGTATTCTGCAGGTACAAGGAACCTGTCCCAGAACTTTAGCATTTTTCAGAGAAGCAAGGCAGTAAAAACAGAGGCAGCAATGTATGGTGCGGGCTTTCCGGACGAGACGGGTTCGAGCATGCATCATTCGCGCATCCCGAGGCGGAGGCTGTGGCCACCTTCTCTCCTTTTTTTGCATTCTTTCTATTAATTAATTAGAAATTCTGTAATAATTAATGTATTTGTTAATCTGGACTGTAATATTTATTTGTACCTCTGGGTGAGGGCAATTGTGTAATAAGTGTGCGTGAGTGGGTGTATGTTTCCAACCCCACGTCTTTCTTCCCTTTTATTTACCTGCTTTGATGGTTAGTATGAGGGCACTGTTTAAAATTATGCATACCTTATGCAATGCATGCGTGCATTCATTCATTTGTCTTACATGCACGGGCTCGGCGCATCATTCTAACTGCATCAAATATTATATCCATTTCAAATTGAATACGTGATAGTTGTAGCATTTCACATGTCATCGTAGATTAGCCGAGCCTATCCTAAACACATTTTGCTTGTGTTGCATTAGTCATTTTAACATGAACTAGGACATGCATGTTGCTAACTAGTTCATTGTTTTGGCACGGAGTACGACTGTAAGTATTTTTGCTTTAGCATATGCATGCAGTGTGAATGTGGCCATGAAGTATGCTTACCATGTGGCTAAGTGCTTATATGAGATAAACTGTTTGAATGCCTGTGGGTGAAAGGTTGGATGTTTGGAGTTGGAAAAACTCGATTGAAAATCCGTGTTTTAGCCTACTTGCGAGTAGCAAATTCCAAAGCGCTTTTCAAAAACAAACGGATATGCGATGCTTTGTTCCAAATTAGGCGATCTAGTCTATACTTGTTTTGTTGTGCGCATCACATAGTAATTCTAGCTAATTAACCGGAATAAGAACACTTAACGTTTTCAAAATTGGATATCATGGTTAGTAAAGGCCGATCTTCGGATCGAGCGAGAGGGGGTGCTCATAGCTGACCTTCCCCAATCGTACCCAAGTTCCTGAGCCGAGGCAACTTTGGTAATGACGGACACGTGGCCTTAGGCAAACGAGTCAGGGTTTCCTAAATTTCCTCATTAAAAAATATTTAGGTGGCGACTCTGTATCTGGCAAAGCAGGCCATGTTTGGTACTTCTTTTCTAAAAATCTATTTTCTCAAAACGATTTGCCGGATTTGGACTCTTTGGTTCAGACTAAGAACCGTGACACAAAAGGGAGTCCGAACTGTGGTGGCACAAAGCCCGAGGGCGCGTCCACACTCATTAAGGATCTCGGTGGGCCATTTTTCGCCTCTTGGCTTAATCTGCTCAGAACCTGAAGTTTCTGTTTGTTGCCGACTAGGTACTTCGACAACTTCATCCACAATCAGCTGTTCAGTTTCTGGAACGGCTGCTGGAGGAGGAGTTTCCAGGCCACCCACAGTATTGGTTCTTCTCCTTGCTACCATTTTTTCAGTATTCCTTCGTCTGGCGAATTGGGCTAGCGACTATCCGCCCATCTCTTCAGAATCAACCCTAGGAAAGTCTCCTAATTCAGTGAAATATCGTCTTCAAGAGACGCAACTGCAGCTCGGCCGGAAGTAGAGGGTTGGCTGCTACCTTCTGGGATGAACTGTTCGAAGGCCAACTCAAGCTCTCTGTTTAAGTCTTGGTCTTCCAAATGGGCTTCAGGTCCAAACTCTTCACCGTCTACACTTTCTTCTAGACGGTCTTCAGGTCCAGCCTCCTCGGCGTCTGAACCTTCGAACCCAATATCCCTATAGCTCTTGAAATTAGGGAAAACAAGTGCCGTCAATTGTTGTTCTCCCCTCGGCACAAGAATATGGTCGGCGGCTGAAAACGTTGAATAGGTGGGATCGTACTTTAGCAGAATATGAGCGGCGCACCCTTGTCCTTGAAAATTTGAATGCCTTTTGTATTTAAGGACCGTTTTCACCTGACTAAGAACAGCTTTGTCTGCCGAAGGGAGGGCTTTTTCTAAGTCATTACCTACACACAACAAATTGGGTCAACACCGTATTTTTGAACCGAATAAATCTTATTATAAATCAACTGATCAGCCACCTGGCTCGCGTTTCCGTCTTGGCACAGGGTCTTGGCGATCCTCTCTCTTGTTGAATTCCCAATTGCCTCAAACGGCGACCATAACATCGTCAACTCTTTTTCCAGAGCTGGCAAGCATAGTCACCAAGTGGTGATCTATATCATTGGCTCTAAGAAAATAGCGGCCCTGGCGACCGGTTGACTTCGCCATAACATAGCAGTGCCGAATAGTCGGAATCCCTGGGTTGAGCTCAAGTAAGCGGTTTAGTTCTACCAAACTCATAATTATGTGATAGAAGTTCACATTGGGTTGAGAAGGCAAGAGACCCCAGTAGTGTAGGACAGTCCTGAGGAATGGGTGTAAGGGGAAACGGACCCCACCCTCAGGGATTGACAAAAGAGGAAAAATGATGGTGTTTGCATCCGTCCTCTCCATATCAACCACATTGTCTGCAACGAGGGATAGTTGGACGTCGTTTGGAATTGAAAAGCGACGGCAGAAAGTGGCGATTCGCTCCTCATAGAGGAGAGCTTTCAGATGAGTTGCCATCCCAAACAGAAGGGAAGATACACAAATAAACAAAATACAAAAAGGGACTAGAATGTGAACAAAAGAGAGAGAGAAAGGGGGGACTTACAGGTTAGAGCGAAAAAGCGATAGAAAGCAAGAGTTGCAAATTGTAGAAGTCTTGTGAAAAAGGAAGAACAGAATGAGGAATGTCAAAGAGCCAAGGTTCAACACATATGGAGGGATAGATTTTAAATCGCATTAAATGAATGTCAAAACACGAAGAGGCGGGAAGCAATGATGATATCATATCGCGTCTGTTCTGACGCATCAACACTAAAAAGTGTGCAAGCGCCGTATTCCCGATTATCGAGGTCTATCAAGTCTGTGAGCCGAAAAAGTAGACACTGACCACGCCGAATAAACGAACGTTAATCAGATGTTCAGGGGGCAATTGTGGTGGCTGAATAAATAGATTATTATTTTTATTATTATTTATGACTCAAGTGCTCGTCGTATGGCCAAATACAAGTCGGCCATGCCGGATCAAGCAAATGGAGAAGCCGAGTACGAACAAGTTATGTATGAAGTAGGAACCGACTATACCCTTTCATATTCGGAAGGCCTAGGGACAGGATCAAAGCACAGAAAGCAGTGGGCCCATGGATGGACCCTTGAGGAATCATTATAAAAGGAAGAGCCATGCTCAACGAATAGAGACCAGAAAAAAGTAATAGAGAGAGAGGATTAAGAGGTTCTGTTTGGATGAAAGAGTATTTCTAAATCTATTTCATCAAAGTGACTTAATTATAATTCATTAATGTTGGTTATGACCTATTGTGATTATTATTTTAATTTTAATTGAAAAGATTTTAATTATACCTTAAGTGATATTTCATTATGATCTATTATATTTATTTTAATTACGATTGAAAATAATTTAACTATAACATTTATGATACCAACATCACAAACATCATAAATTATCCACGTGTGTTGTAAAATGACAGTACATTACATGTGTTGCCAAAACTCAGTGAGATGAAACAAACAAGGGCATCCCCACATGCTCTAACAATATGTTCTGCTGCTGCCCAAAGTCCATGAAACACTAAAAGCATCTCCACGTGCTCTTCTCTTCTCCACAGGCTCCATGTGACTCTTGATTGGTTGTGAGAGTGACCTTGACTATTGTATGAATGATAAATGGATTTTCATTTTTTTGATATTTTTATTTTTATTTTTTACAAAAAAATATATAAAAATCTATTTTTTCAACCCATTTTGAGATCTAATGATATACAAAATAGATGATTAATTGATAAACTAAAAACGAAATTACACGAAAGAAAGAATTACTTTATGTATTTAGTAGACTTCGCATCATTGAAATTTAAAGCTTCCGTTTGGGAGGGGGTTGGCTTTTTAGTTTTTTGACTTTTTTGACTATATGAGCCTGGGCTCAAAAGTTTAGTTTGGAAATGGCTTTTGATTTTTTAGTTTTTTTAATTTTTTTGTGAGAAAAGAGTGTAATAATTATGGGATTGGATGGGATGTTTTGTCTATTGTGGCTCATGAGCCTATTCTGCCTTTTATGGCTCATTGAGCCAAAAAAATCCAATGACCCTTGCCAAACCAACCCAAAATAAATCTTAACTTTTTGGACTAAAATAATATACCACTCGTTTTTTAGTTAAGGCGTGGCGTGGCACTCCAAATATAGTTCCTACAACAAACATAGACGAAAGCGGATCAAGGGCAGCCATAGTCCCTTCTAATACTATTTGGTTCATGGATTTGAATAGATATTTAAAAAAATAAAAGAAAAAATTTATGTGAAATATAAATAAAATGCATCTACATTTTATGCACTTTTCACATTTTTTTTTTCTTTTCTTTATGAAAGCTCTACCTAAATACATAAACAAAAACACAATCTAAGTGCTTTATAAATGGTTCTATTACTTCTTTAGAAGTATTTCACATGGTATGTAAAATGGTTCCTCTAAAATTTTAAAAATTCTTTTATTGACTGTAATTAGTAGGATCGATTCTATCAATTTTGGAGTTTTTTTAAAAAATATTTCCAAAAAAAAAAAAACTAATTAGAGAATTGACCTACTTTTCAAACTATTTAGGAAACTAACTTATTTTTTGAAATCGCATTTTAAATATGCGATTTTGAAATTGAAATTGCATCTTGAACATGCAATTTCACCTTAAAATTGCAAGTTGAAAATGATGACATGGAGAAATTGCATATTCAATATGCGATTTCAATTGAAATCTAATTAGAGAATTGACATACTTTTCAAACTATTTAGGAAACTAATTTATTTTTTGAAATCGCATTTTCACAATGCGAATTTGAAATTGAAATTGCATTTTCAAAATGCAATTTTGAAATTGAAATTGCATCTTGAACATTAAAATTGAAAGTTGAAAATGATGACATGGTGAAATTTCATATTCAACATGCGATTTCAAGGCGAAATTGCAAATTGAAAATGCAATTTCAATTTTAAAATCACATTTTCAAAATACTATTTCAAAAGCATATTAGTTTTCTAAATAGTTTAAAAAGCGAGTCAATTCTCTAAATAGTTTCTTTTTTGGAATATTAAAAAAAAAAACTCATCAATTTTGATATGTAAAAGTCCTTTATTGTATATTATAATAAAATTTATAGAGGTAGATTTTTGTTATATGTCTTATATTTACCAATAAAATGCCTTATAATCAAAGTATAAATTTTTTGGAAAAATTGTACGGTAAGAACCTAATTGTATTATACAGTCAAAAAATTATATGAAATAAGTGAGATAACTATTAAAAATGCGTTACATAGATTTATTAACTTTTTTACTATTTTTTTTATTACACTTACATAAAATTAAAAAAAAATGATCAATAATTTATTTATTTTGCTATGCTTATCTCAAACTCCTCTAAATAAAATTTCTCATTTCGTCCATGTCTACAAAATTACAAGTTTATTTAGTTGCGGAGTAGGCATTACTATTGAATATATTACCTAGTGCTGATTGTACTATGTTTAATTGCTATAACACTAACTATTCATCTTCCGTCAAACTAAGATTTTATTATTAAAATTGTACTTGAATAAAAAATTTGGATCGAAATTTTTAAAAAATATATAATTATATTTTATTAATTATTTTTATTTTTATTTAAATACCATGTGTACTACTATCCTATTAGATGTAACTTTACCCACTATGGTTGATTTGAAAAGTTGGTTAAAAATTAATTTTTTTTATGTGTAAAAAATATTAGAGATAATATAATCTAAAATGAGTTAAAAATTAATAGAGTTTTCTAAATATGATTTGAAAACAGAGTTGTATTTTGAATTTGTGAATTTTAAAATTATGATTTAAGTATAAAAAATTTGTTTAGTTATCAGTTTTGAATTGAGTTTTGGAGGGAGTTTTGAATTTTTGAAATTACAAAAGTTATTTGATTTAAAAATTTATAATTTATAACCAAACACACAGCTTAAAATTCTATTCAAAACTAATATAAAAATTAAAAAAATTCTAATTTTTTTTATTTATAATATAAAAATAACAGGTGTCCAAGAAAAAAAAAAAAATCAAACACTGTTCCGGTCAACAGGCCGGACGTTTGAGGGGACATCGGGATTAGCCAAATTTTACTGCCTGAAAAGAATTTTTCAATGAATTTACCACTTAAAAAAGAATTTTCAAAAATAAATTTAAAATTATAATGTGAAAGTTCAAAATAAACATACTCTTAAATAAATAGACAAATATATATTTAAAATATATAACCAAATACAACCTAACTTTTTAACTAACTTCTCAAATTATTACTGAATTCCAACCACTTAAAACAGACTGCCAAAAGATGAGA